TCCCCCTGACCACCCTGTGAGCTGGTTGAACTCTCCATTTTGTGATTGAGGAACAATGGGAGAGGTTCAGTGATTGACCAAGGTCATGGGCAATGGTAAGTATTAGGGCTGGATTTGAACTAGGTTGACTTGATTGTATGTACGGCCTTTGCTCTTCACCAGTGTGGGTTGCCTCCAAGTGCCTATGGCTACTGATGGTTTTTTCTGTCCCTGAATACAATTATTCTTTTTTTTCTCTATAAATAAAAAAGATTTTTTGAAAAAAAATCTAGAATATGTATATGAAAACATTAATAGTGATTATCTCTGCATGGTGAAATATGAATGGTTTTTGTTTTCTTTTCCATACTTTTCCTGAATTTTATGGAATAAACATTTATTACTTTTTATAACTGGAAACATATGGCACTATTTTTATAACAGTGATTATTTTCTTCTATGCACAGTATTATAGGTGGGCATTTAATGTAATTTAACCATTGCTTCCCACCTCCCCACATCACATTTATGAGAATCTTTAAAAGCAGCATTATTGGTATTATTTTGCTTACACATGGTCTTAGCCAAAAGGACAAGAAGTGATGATTTTGCTTAAAGCTCACAAAGTGCCGACAAGAGGAATGCATGTTGTGGCATCGTGACCTCACTGAAGATGGTTTATCTTTTTTCCCTGATCTCCCTGCTTTATGCAGTTTAACTACGGAGGTGCTAAGTATGCATGGCAAAGGGAGTAGAAACCTTAGACATGTATAGAAAGCACTGGAGATTTGGGGAAATTATGGTTTTTGGGGTTTTTTTTTAAGATTTTATTTATTTATTTGGGGGTGGAGAAAGGCAGAGGGACAAGGAGAGAGAGAGTCTTAAGCAGGCTCCACACCTGTTTCTTGGGGCTCAATCTCACAACCCTGAGATCATGACTTGAGCCCAAACCAAGCGTAAGACACTCAACTGACTGAGCCACCCAGGTGCTCCGGGAAATTATGTTTTTAAGTAGAAGAGAAGAGAAATGAAAAGGTAAAGATAGGGAGTAGACTTTTAGCTGATGTTTCTCTTGTACACGAATATATGTCTTAGTTTAGTTCCCTTTTGCTGTTCAGACAGATGCTGACACTTGTCCATTTAGCTTCTTAGTTCTCTACTAATATGAAATACTTTGTTAGTTTGCATTTGGGGGTTATATAAAATTAGACCCTTAGGAAATGAAAACATTTCAGGACTGGGGAAGCGGGCATTCAATGACTACCTTCAAAAGAAACGCAGCAGAAAAGAACCACAATTAAGGTAAATTAATTCTCGGGTTCTCCGTAGTTCTGAATCAGCCTGCTTTTAAGCTGCAGGCATCTAATCGAATAGGAAATAAAGATGCTTAATAAAGAATATTTGATTGCTACTACATAATTCACTCCCAAACTTGTAGTTGTATATACTTTTTTGGCAGGAGAACAAGTGAGTGTAAAAACATTTTTGCTGGGCTCCGCCTGTCCACCTTTAACTTTGCTGAGCTTAGCTGTTTCTGCTTCTGCACATGGTAGCCTCTCCGTGCAGTGCTGCTGGGCACGGCCTTAGGACCTTGAACCATGCCTTGGACATGTGCCTGGGGTATTTGAAAGGCACTGACACCACCCTGACTTCACCCATCATGCTTCTGGGGGCCTGCAGAGTGATTTACCGGGATGCCAAAATTATATTCAGGACCCTGAGCTTCATAGATGTCTGACCAGAAAGAACATTCATCCCTAGGAATTGGTCCTAAAGTCCTTTATGGAAACAAGGGTGACATGTTCTGTACTCCCAGAATAAAATTTACCTACCCTAAAAAGTAAGATTTGGAGAACAAGTTTAAACATTATTTGAAATAATTGGCGCTAGAGTTAAAATCTTCAGTATTCCTTTGATAAAATCTGCTGAATGGGAAGCCAGGATATTTTGACTGAATGGCTGTGAGTGGACTCTTAGATGTTTGAGTTGTATTGGATTTTAGTGGTCATCTGTAGTAAACTTAATTTTAAAGGTAAGTATGTACTCCTTTTCGATTGTGTTGGCAAATAGAGCTATTAGGAGCCAGAATCTTATGCTGATTCGTCATCTAGCTTGACTCCTGTTAGAATATAATTAAAGCATCATCTCCCATCCAAAGAAATAGAATCTAAAGTAAAAAAATAATAATAATAAATCAGGTAGCCATGATGAGGATGCAACTGTTACTCAAAGAGCTGTCTATACAATTTCTTTATTAACATTTTATTCAGTAGAACAGCACATAATGGGAGCCACATATGTCATTCTAAATTTTCTAGTAGCTGCATTTAAAAAAAGTAAAAAGAGGGGCGCGTGGGTGGCTCAGTCAGTTAAGCATCTGCCTTCGGCTCAGGTCACGATCTGAGGGTCCTGGGATCGAGTCCCATATCAGGCTCCCTGCTCAGTGGGGAGTCTGCTTCTCCCTCTGCCACTCCCCCTGCCACTCCCCCTGCTTGTGCTCTCTCTCTCTGTGTCAAATAAAACCTTAAAAAAAAGTAAAAAGAAACAGGTGAAATTAATTATAATTACATATTTAACCTGCTATATCCAGAAGACTATCATTTTAACATATAATCAATATAAAATTATTAACGAGATATTTTACATTCTGTTTTCTTCTTCCTGGCATTTGGTGTATCTTTAACACTTAATAGCATCTCTCAAATCAGACTAGCCGTATTTTAAGTGCTCAGTAGCCACCTGTGGCTAGGGGCTACCCATGCTGGACAGCACAGATTTAGAACCTATTCCTTTAAACTTTCAAATATTCTAGAAACAAATACATTCAAATAGAATATCAGTATTTTAGAAGGAGTTCTTAATATTCTTGGATAACTGCAAAAGGTGAAAATACATTGAAAATTACTTAAATAGATCAGTGAATTAGCTATCTGATGGTATTCTGCACTCCTTAAGCTAGTGGAAAATACTGCTCACATATTAAAATTTTCAAGTTAAAAATGGGGGGAAAAGATACAAATGTAGTGATCCGAAGGGGTATGTGCACCTCAATGTTTATAGCAGCAATGTCCACAATAGCCAAACTATGGAAAGAGCCAAGGTGTCCATCAACAGATGAATGGATAAAGAAGATGTGGTATATATAAACAATGGAATATTATGCAGCCATTAAAAAAACCATGGAATCTTGCCATTTGCAACACCGTGGATGGAACTAGAGGGTATTATGCTAAACGGAAATAAGCCAATCAGAGAAAGACAAGTATCATATGATCTCACTGATATGAGGAATTCTTAATCTCAGGAAACAAACTGAGGGTGGCTGCAGAAGGGAGAGGTGGGAGGGATGGGGTGGCTGGGTGATAGACATTGGGGAGGGTATGTGCTATGGTGAGTGCTGAGTAAGACTGATGAATCACAGACCTGTACCTCTGAAACAAATAATACATTATATGTTAAAAAAAAAAAAAGAAGAAGAAGATAGTAGGAAGGGAAAAATGAAGGGAGGGAAATCAGAGGGGGAGACGAACCATGAGAGACTATGGACTCTGAAACAAACTGAGGGTTTTAGAAGGGAAGGGGATGGTTAGCCTGGTGATGGGTACTAAGGAGGGCATGTATTGAATGGAGTACTGGGTGTTATATGCAAACAATGAATCATGGAACACTACATCAAAAACTAATGATGTAATGTATGGTGACTAACATAACATAATAAAATCTAAAAAAAAAATAAGAATAAAAATGGGAAACAGGACTTTCATTCTACTTGAAATAGGTAAGTTTTCTATCATCAGGCCTGTGTGCCCACTGCGATTCTTGCAGAATTAAAGAAAGTTTCCACAGGAGTCATGGCTCTCTGGGTGCATTATTTTAGAGCCATGGCTATGAACTTGAGAACTGGTAGAGACAGGGAAAATCCCCCCAAAATGAGCATTGCTACAGGAACTCTTTGAATAAGAAGGAGAGATTGTCATTGGTTGTCTGAATGTTTGAGGCTAACAAAAAATAAAGAACAATTATAAATTGCTCATCTTAGGTAGGTTCAATATAGAATTATTCAGGACAGGAATCTTTTCTGTTAGATTCCTTCATTTCCTGAGACCTTACGTGTGAAAAATCTGTGTTTTAATTTCAAGTCAGGATGGGTTGTCTTTACTCGAAGACATACTTCATTTGAAGTTTTGGAAAAAGTAGAGTCAGTCTGCCTTCATATAGTTTGTGTCATCTAATCACGACTCCTACTTTACCTGAACTCACATTTTTGTAGTCGAACAAACTTCTCGCCTGAGAGCTGTAAAATACGGAAAGGATAGAAAAATCAATTTTCTTCATTGGTAAAATTTTCTTGAAAAGTTGCAAAGTAACATTTCAGTCAGTGAAATCAGAAACTTCTTTCAACTCCTTTATTAAAATGCCTTTAGGGCACCTGGGTGGCTCAGTCAGTTAAGTGTCTACCTTCAGTTCAGGTCATGATCCCAGGGTCCTGGGATTGAGTCCCACATTGGGCTCCCTGCTCAGCGGGGAGCCTGCTTCTCCCTCTGCCCCTCCCCCACTTGCGCTCTCTCTCGCTCCCTCTCTCAAAAATAAATTAAAAAATTTAAAAAATAAGATGTCTTTAAATACATGTGTTTTAAGAGGGGCAAAGTAAGGAGAAATGATGAATTCTAGAACATGCAGTTCTCTGCCAGAGTCTCATAATTAAGAGATTTTTTTTTTTAACATTATCAGTGGAGTCCCATTTCCCCCACTCCTGTCATATAAACCTTAGTGAGTCAGTCTGAATTTCTTGCCTGCTCTTTCTTGGATTAATTTCTAAGAGATCTTTTTCCCCCCATTTTTATTTTTTTGGCACCCAGGAATTAAATAGCTTTAATTACTTGGATCTGTACAGACTTGCTGACCTCTTTAACCTCACTTTGCTGGAGAAGGCAGTGATCGATTTCTTAGTGAAACATCTCTCTGAGCTCCTGAAGAGTCGCCCAGAAGACGTTCTAACGCTTCCTTATTGTCTGCTCCAGGAGGTTCTGAAGAGCGATCGCCTGACCTCCCTGAGTGAAGAGCAGATCTGGCAGGTAAGGGCGCTCTGCATGGGTCTTCTTTTGGCAGGGAAAAGGCACAGAATGGTTAAAAGTTGAACAGTTGAGGAGCAATGATAACTATTTTGTCTGGTTTGGTTCTCCTCAGAGTCAAAGTCAGAAGTCATGCTCCCTTGATGGGCAAGTGATTGGAGAACACCAGCCCTTGAGGGTCGGAGGCCTCAGCCTTTGCTCAGCTTAACTCGGGCTGTCACAGGTGTGGTTTCTCAGACCCTTGCTGGGGCTTCCCAAAACCCTAAGGGGGGGCGGTTACATCAGAAAGAGTCAAGAATTTCTTTCTCCCAATAGATAGTTTCTTAAACTGAACGTGAGAAAAATGGATTGTCAAGCGCCATATATGCATATTATTTAAGACCAATGGAATCAGAATAGATTCTCAAACATTTCTTTGTTGCAGCTGAGAGCAGCTGGGGCCTTAAATGAAATGAAGCTCTTCTTGCACAGCAGTGGAAAAATCTCCCTCTTTAGTTAATTCTGCATTCATTGCCATTTTCCTAAGCCCTGCCTTTCGCCTGACGTAGCATTCTTTCTGAATATCCTTTGTCTAGGGGATGGGAGGATGTTTTGTGTTTTCAGGTTGATTATTCAGTTTAAATCCTTTTCTGCTCATCCCCACTGGCTTTACTTGAATAATCCACATGGTGTCTTTGGGGAACAGTCAGAGCCCATCTTATCACTTTCGTTTTACATCAACCACCTCACTGTCTGAATGCTGACTAGCCATCTTGTTATACCTTCAAGATTTCACGATCATTTTATTTATATACAGAAACATGAAGTAGAAACAAATAAGACATATATTTTATTTATATCCATGTTCATGCTATTTATATACAGAATACAAGAGAAAATATGAAGTCTTCTGTTAGCTGATGGGACGGTAAATTCCTGGTATCTTAGCAAATGACATTTGGAGAGTACTTTAACTCTGGCCAGAACAGGCAGAGGGAGCTGTTAATTATCCAGCACCTGACTCTATTCACTGATAATTTTCCTGATGTCTTTCTCTCTTATTTCTTTCTTTATTTACATTAATCAGCAACTTCCTTCTTTACTGTTGCTCCACCACTGAGAATAATAAGAGCTATGGTGTAGTGAGGGCCTTCCAGGACCCAGACTCTTTGCAAACTTATTGACTTATTGTCACAATGGGCTTGAAGGATAGTTGTTATCACCCCATCGTCCAGATGAGCAAAATGGGGCTTCAGTGCCTTGCTCAGAGTTACAGAGCAGAGCCAGCCTACAAGTCTAAGTCTGCAGACCCCTGTCCTCATCTGTCCAGTATTCCACACTGTCTTGACAAAGAAAATGTAAGGAAAAAGAATAATCCATATTTTCTTTCTCCTTCTTAGGTATTTCTGATAATGTTTGTTCAGGCAGAGGTCAAAAGTTGGTGAGGATGAGTTTTGGTATGAATTTTAATTATCTGTGGTTCTCCCCTATAAACACAAATCATCAACATTTTCTGGTCAATTCAAAGTGGGAGGTTGCCAAACTTTTCTTCATTTCCCAAAGGGAAAAAGAAAGACTTGGAATGAATTCTGCGTTTAATTATTTCTAACTGAATTAAAATCTGAGCCAGTCATCCTTGTGGCTTCTATCTCTTTTTGTGGCATGGTTGAAGGGACTGCCAGAGAGGTAATGTGCAGATGTCTGAGTATCCAAAAAAAATTCCATACTGTCCACTTAAGAGTTATCATAATTGCATCTCCAAAGGTTACCAATATTATCATGTAGAATTTTAAAAACTGCTTCCTGCTGCAGGCAATATCTTTTTTGTACCTGGTCCTCAAGAAAGAATTAAAAGACTCACATAAATATGATCAATTTAGGCATTCAGCAGGCAATAAGAAACTGTTTTGCTTTATCTTAGGAAATACGTAATTCCCTCATACTCAACCCAATAGAGAAAAATTAAATCAGACCAGCTATATTGCCTCAAGTATAGTTAAGTTCATCATTTTTGCTGAGGTTATACTAGTAATGCAATATACCAGGGAAGAATCTAATATTCAGCCCTGGGTGAAGATTGGGTATGCCAGAGGATTAGTGTCAGGGTGCTTTATAGAAGTGAATCTTGATGGACAGGCTGGAGACAAATCTACAGAATCTCATTAAATTGCTGAATTGTTCATTATGGAACGTTCTCACTGTAATAAAGTGCTCATTGACTTTGACAAATCCCCATCCCATGTCTTAAAGAAGAACAGTGAGTCAAGGGGTGTGGGGGAGGAGAAAGGAAATTGACACAAAGTAGGACAGGTAATAGAAAAGCAGATGGAGGGGTAGTGCTCTTTGATTAATATGTGCAACTAGTAACTTAAGGCGAGAGCCCAGTAAACACAAACACACACACACACATGCACACACACACGCACGTGAGTGCACATGTTTACACATGTGCTTCTTCTGCTGTCAACTGATAATGTAATCTGGGACATTCCCTTTCTTTTGGTAAAAGGTCTCATTTTCATTTTTCACCAGATTTCATGCAGTCTGTCTCTGAAGACGTCATAAGACCCTTCAAATAATCCTCATTGAACAAACTCTTTTTTACTTTCTCCTGCTGTCCCTTATCCACTTCCTTTCCTGATAAAATGTGCTGCAGGCTGTAATAACCATTCTGTGGATCTGAAAACCTGTGAAATCCCCCAAGATTATGCCTTATATCTGCTCTTCCCCCCCATCTGACCTTTTTAAACTTTAAGTCTCTTCTCTCACAGAGGGCTTCTTCATCCCCTATAAATAATTTTTCCTCCCTTCCATGGTCTGAAACTACTCGGCCTGTTAGGTAACTTCTCTTTACATTCATAGGGTAATGTAGAGAATTGCACCATATACACACTTTAGTGTATAAAGGCATAGAAGTCCCCTCAGAAAAATGCTTTTTAAAAAATTCAGTTCAATTCAGCTTAACAATTTGGTCTGATGTTTCAAGGCCAGCGATTTCTAGGTTCCAGATGAAAGACACCAAATTGGTTATGGGGCTCAAAGAAACAGGAGACTAAAAATGAGCAAATCAGCTGGAGAGGAAACGTGGGGCATGAGGTCACACGTGTTCGTGACCTGGCAAATCTCTACCAGTTTTGTTTGGCTTTCGGGTTTTAGCTCTAACGTAGGACTTTGTTTCAGTAGGGTCTTGTTAAATTTTTCCTGTTAGATTCAACATAGAGTTTCAGATTACTGAGCCGGGGTCCTGCTATAAAACTTGAGTGAAATAATGAACCATTCCATACCATTCCCACGTATTGGGTCTGTTTTCATTTTCATAGGAAGTCCTGGCCAATCCGGTTTTTTTCTGAGGAAAATGCATTATCTGCCTCTTCTACCCCAGATTCTCTCTTACCAGAATGAGGGCTCAGAAATTACTTTTCATGGGAGTGGAAAAAGCCTGAATGTGATGTAAATTCTTACATTTGCTAGCACATAGAGAAGATGTGGTTCTCCATCCATCACTATTTATCGAGCACCTATGAAATGCCCAAAACCGTGCTGGAGTGTAAGGCCGAGTATAGGTTTGTTAACTCAGTTTTCCTTTCCCATGCCTCGCCCCAAATAGGAGGGATCTTTATGATATTTTTTAAAAGATTTATTTATTTATTTTTAGAGAGAGAGAGAAAGTGGGGGGAATGGCAGAGGGAGAGGGAGAGAGAAAAACTCAAGCAGACTCCATGCTGAGTGCGGAGCCCAACACAGCGCTTTATCTCAGGACTCTGAGATCATGACCTAAGCCAAAATCAAGAGTCAGATGCTTAACTGTCTGAGCCACCCAGCTGCCCCCGATTTTAAACCATTAGTTCAGCTCTCTGGATTTTATTTCATCTCTGAAGTAGCAGAAACAAGAAGGATATTTTAAAATGGATAAAGATAGTTTGTGGAAATAAAAGTGAATATTTCTTGAGCACCTATTACATGCTAGGTACAGTGTTAGAAGCTAGGTCCTGGGGTAAAAAGCTTTCCAGAAATATTCCATTATTGAGTTAGATTTAGTTTAGTTTCATCTCTGAATGTGAAGAACTTTGGTTTTCGTTCAATTATTAATTTATTTACTGATTGCTATTTTCAGTGAAGAGGACTTACTATAAGAACAGTACGTACATCAATGCTTTCTTTCTTTATTAACCTTGGGTTGAGGACCCCTCCTTTTGTATTCTGACCAGACAATTCAGTGGTCACATCACTGACATTAAATGGGATCAGACCTCAGCAAGGACAGTCTCCTTTACCCTGGTCGTGTTCTACTTTAGTATGGCAAGAGGGCTGAGTCCCCTGGTTTGGGTTTGGGGGTAGTCATGTTTGCATTTGTCTTTGTGTGTCCCCAGAGGCAGAGGCTGTGCCTGTTACGTTTGCATTGAACACTGCCTTGTTCTCTTGCTCTCTATAAATAATAAATAAAAACAGTAATGTAGAGTTTTCATATTAAAATGTATTGAATGGATAAGAATACATCCTACTATTCCTACACGGGGCTGGGTTCATTCTAGGAATTGGTTTACAAAATGAGTTTGGCCTTTCATTTTATTTTTTTTTTATTTTTATTTATTTATTTATTTATTTATTTATTTATATTTTAAGTAGGAACCCAGCGTGGAGCCCAACACAGGGCTTGAACTCACGACCCTGAGATCTAGACCTGAGCTGGTATCAAGAGTCGGCTGCTTAAGCAACTGAGCCCCCCAGGTGCCCCTGAGTTTGGCCTTTTAAAACTGCATTTTTCCTTATATTTTGTTGGAAATTTGGTTCTGTAAGTCATACTGCTAATAACACATTTACTTTATATCTTTAGAGACATGAGTCACACATTGTTTAGAGTAGTCAACAACCTCAGATGCTGTGTTTTTGTTTTTTGACAAGCCCCTTCCAGGCTTTTATCTATACCACAAAACCACCCACTTACAGTTTGATTTAAAAGGAGTCCCAGAAGATGAGCCCAAACCAAAAGCAACTATTCCTTTATGGTTAGAAAGTAGAGGGCA